CAGTTCGTCGATTTTGCGACTTTGTACTCATCTGTGAGAAACATATAAAGGGGTCTCGGTTAGCTGAATAAAGTCGAAAAACAGAGGCTTACTAGTGTGGGGTTTTTCGGTACAGCAGCTCCACCAGCTCACTTTCGCAGTTTGGTGTTTTGCTTCGGTCAACCTCTAGAAAAAGAATAGTAATTATAATTATGAAAAAATTGTACAAAACGAGAATCGAGAAGGACCTCATCAGAGGCAGTTTTTAATTTTTTCCACGGGGGTGCTGTAAGGCTTTACCCACAGTTTCCGGCTCATCTGTTAGTCCTTTTGCTTCGATTTGGTCATTGAGGTGTTCAAAATCGAATTTCGAGTGAATAAAATTTTTATTTACCTTTTTTGGCAGTCGGAGGTGGCTTCGGCATGGCGGCGGGAGGCGGTCGACTCCCTTCCTGATGATTGGTTCTTCTTCTCCAGTAAGAGGGTCTGGCAGCCAAGGTTAGGGTTTGGTGTGAAGTGAGGTATTTATATCCATCTTTTTTAATATGGACCGTCTATCGCGTTTGATCTGAACCGTCCAATCGCATTTAAAAGGAGAACGGATCCAGACCGTCTACACGCGTGGGAACAAATTAGGATCGTCCAATCGCGGTCACGCGAATTGCCAGCATGGCCTTCCGCGTAGCACCGCGCCAGCATGCCTTGCCACGCAGCAGGGTCCGGTTCGTCGAAGCTGCTGACTGAATGTCCTACTTGACACATTTTTCTTAAATTATATTTTAACCCCAATTTTCGATTTTTCTTTCAAAAACACTTTCAGAATCCAAATTTTTACCATTTTTTTCCAAAATCATTTTCTATTTCATAGTCTACTATTTTTTCTTAATTTTTACATCAAATAAAAATTTATAAATTAAAAAATAAATTTTCATGCATTTTTTTAAAATTTTTTTTTAAAAATTAATTAAGGGTATTACATGTACTCACTTGTATATATATGTATGCATTCATTAAGTGAATTTTATTTTAAAATTAAATAGATATTATTCAATTAACTAATATGTGTAAACTAATTACTTTTTTTCTTGTAGTCAATGGATAAATATTTTCAATAATCAAATGTCAGAAGTAGAAATGCAATATGACAATACCCTAAAGCATATTCATACTATTTTTAAATGCATACAAAGTGTGACGTTCCAATGCTAAAGAGGGCACCAATATACGATAGAGCAGATATAAAAGATACAATAAACATAGCAGCAGAATTTTACATCCCAACACAAAATATAAAAACTGTATACTAAGGCACTAGGTTATCTACACATATATACAATTCAAAAGAAATAACCTATACAAATATAATAGCCTTTAAAGTGTTTAAACAAGTCTACTCCCATAACTAATCGTCCTGGAAGGAATCTAAGCAGGGGTCCTCAAAAACTCATAACGGGGGGGATGTTGGATTTAAGTTAATTCCAATACTCAGTAAAATAGAAAATATTAAGGACATACAAATATTCTTGGGGGAGAGGGGATGTTGGATTTAAGTTAGTTCCAATACTCAGTAAAATAGGCAATATTAAAGACATACAAACATTCTTTGAAAATAGTTCTTTAATGTAGAGATTAAGTAAAATAGTAATAAATTAATTAACAATAAACAATCATTTTCATGTTGTACGATAACCATTTAATTGACTTAATATGTATTTAATGCATTTACATAACTCACACACATACACCCAAGACTAAATACATCTTCTGACTCAGTTTTTAATACTAAATTGTAATCCTAATTTTAGTTTTACTGTTTATAATCCTATGCACGCAACCACGAATACTATTTCCAAAAAGAGAACAAGTTACCAACTAGATAAGGATAGAAGTGTAATCAATAAATAAATTAAAAACATAAATAAATACATATAATTCACTTAATACTCTCCGAATGCCATCCCACAAATTTCACTCCAGTCGCCATCATTCATGTCTTTGAACCCTAAGACCATGAATAACAATCATTTCATAAGACTACTGAACCTAACTCAATTTGAAACTCAATATCACATTCAAAGTCTAATAATTCCCCTTTTAACCTCAATATTCCTCCAGAAAAATCAGTTAATCGAAGACACTATATTATTTATTTTTAAACTTTTTATTATTTTTTTGTTAACTTTTTATTTTATCCTATGTGATTTTCTAAAATATATAATTATTATTATCTAATTACTGAGATTATTAATTCAATTTAATTTATTATTTAGTGTTTGATTTCTTCAATTATAGTTTTTATTCCTTCCAATTAACTCAAATATTTTATTTTATTGTCCTTTAATTATTTTGTTTAGGTTTAATATTATTTCAATTTTACATATTTGCCAATCCAGTAGATTACAATTGTTCCATTTCCATTTAGTTTATACTTAAAAATTTTCCAATTCACTACCCACAATCCTATTCCAATTTTAACCGTTTTTTTAATTTTCCAAATTATTTAACTTTTATTAATTTTCCGAACAACCCAAACTGTCCAAAATTCAGCCCAAGAGAAATAAGTTCCCATGCTGGGCCCGTGGCCAGCACGGCTCGTTGGCATGTTGCACAAAGGCACCCGGCCTATGGGGTATGAGCAGATGTGCAGTAGGCACCCCTGTGCTTGTCCCTACCCACGTTCGCACGCATGGTGTCCGACACAGCGTGTTTGCACACCCGAACAGCTTTGTTGGCCTTCTGGAAAAGCATAGCCGAGCCCTTCACACGACTTGCACAGCAATTGCTAAACAACTTTATGCCAGAGATGCTTTCTGACACTTCAGATTGCCCAGAAATCATCCCATTGCGCGTATTAACACGACAAAACCGTGTGTGCCCAACAGCAGCACCATGTTGATGCCTGGCACGTGTGACAGAAGCTATTTGACTTCTATCTTTGTTCCCCTTTCCCTTATGTTCCCCTAATTAGCATGTACTCATATGTCATTATTCATTCCTTGATCACCAACATTTAGAATCATTCAAAAATCACCAAAATGCACAATTTAAAACATTAATGTACTCACACACATCATCAATTTTAAAACACCACTTGTTTTTTATTTTTAAAGGTTTTACTAAATAAATGCATACTATAAATCCATACCTGTATTGACCAAGATTGTCACCCATCTTACATGGAATACGCAGCAGAAACAAGCTGAAATAACGCAAGGAAAGAGTGTTTGAAGTTTTGAAGATAATTCTGTCAGAATTTAGAGTTAATTTTTGGTTATTTTCACGATTCAAGGTTGTTCAACTAACCCCTAGTAGTCCAGTAACAATCTAACAATTTATTAACTAAAAAGAACTAGCAAAGAAAAGAGATTTGGAAGCGAATAGCAACAAAAAACCCAATTCTTACCTACAACCCTGACAGCAGATAAAACGACAACAAATCAGGGAAGTTGCTGCAAATTTTTGGTTCTAAAATCTGCAAAAAAGGTGTATAAATGTACTGGAGCCCCAAAGGAACTAGCTCTAAGGGAAGAAGGCTTACCTAGCTTAGAGCATAAGGAAATTCTTCCCACAATTGGACCAGAATTCCTTCTTGGCACCAACATACACTCACACTCTGTTTTTAAACTTCCTTCCTCACCAACACTCTCGGGTTTCACTCTGCTTCTGAAATTTTGAGTTCAAAATAAAATGGGGAAGAGGAAATAGAGAAGAAATCGACTTTTAAAGAAAATTTAAGGGTCAATCTTAGCCGTCCAAGACCATGCATGCAATCTTGGCCGTTGATGACAAGAGTGGCTGACAGCCCAAGGAAAATGGATGACCAGTGCTTGCTATCTGTCCAGCAGCTGACTCTCTTGCCAGGTGGCCAATTAGTCACCACATGTTGAAGGTGAGTGGAGTCCATATGCAGTCCACCTTACCCCACTCTCCATGCAAACAAACCATTTTGTTTTAAAATAAGGAATTTATTCATTTTAAATTATTAATTCAAAATAAATCACAAGAAGTAACTGAACATGGAAATTAAATAACTAAAATACCTCTTTTTATTAGATAGGAGTTTACTGTAGCATACAACTGGTTATTACGCTAAGAGCGGCTAATTATACCATCCATATTTTATATCAATCATTATATTCATTAGCAATTTCACAAAAAAATTTTAAATCTTCAATATTAAATAAAAAGGTGTGTAAAATTTTAAATTAATAATAAATAATTTCTTCAAAATAAATAAAATAAAAGAATCAATTTTGGACAAAAATTGTTAAATATAAAGAATTTCAAAGAAAGTTATTACCTACATGTCAACTCTTTGCACTTCTTCTTGATAAATATAAATTTAAACAATCTTGATCTAACACTTTTTTTATTTATCATATTTTATCATTTGATTAATATTTGTAGTACATTTTCAATAATCTCGCAAGGGATATTTTCTTGTACTAATAATTTTGTAACTTCAAAATGAAGATTTAGAATTTTATCTATTAAAACTTATCAAATTTTAACCTAGAATAATTTTTTTTTCAATTATTAATATAGGCACCACTTACCATGTACTTTTATTTGATAAATATTAACTGTTTATAGT